GAAAATTGGTGTGTATATCATGGCACCTGAGCTTATCTCAATGGCATATTTCATAAATCCCCCACGACTGTAATACAAATGTTACAGCCTCTGAAAGTGCTGAGGTAGAACCTTAATACTTCTTGAACTTCTGTATGAGTCTCCATGAACCCTTGTAAGTATATCATGCAATTTGAACTCATCTCAATGCTGTACTCCATAAATCACTCCCATCAATAATACCAGTACTGCAGCCTCTCAAATTGTTGAGGTAATAATCCTTATATTACTTGAATGCCTGAACTAATCATCATAAAAGTTGGTATGAATATCATGCGACTTGAGGCCATCTGGTGTACATCATGAATCACTTTTGTAAGTAATACCAACACTATAGCTCTTAAATTATTGAGGTAGTACCACTAATATTACTTGAATTCCTGAACTAGTCGTCAGGAAATGTATGTATAACATGCCAAATGAGGCCATCTAATGTATGTACTTCATAAATCTGTCTCGCCAGTAGTACCAACATTGTGGCCTCTCAGATTTTTGAGGTAATAACCATAGTATTAATGGAATTCATCACTTTATCAACATATAACATCATATGTATATTATGCCACCTGAGACTTTCTTAATGGCACATTTCATAAAATCTTCCTTAAAAAGTGCCAACACTGTAGCCTCTCAGGTTGTTGAAGCAAACCCTAAATATTGCTTGAACGTCTGCACCAACCTCCATGACTTGGTATGTATATCACACCACTTGAAACTGATTCAATGGCATACTATGTAAATCTCTTCCATCAGTAACACCAACATTACAGCTTCTCAAATTATTCCTGTAATAACGTAAATATTACTTGAATGACTGAAGTGAGAGTCATGAAACTTGGTATGTATGTCACACCACCTGAGCCCATCTCAATGGCGTACTTATAAATTCCTCTCATCAGTAATACCAACATTAAATACTCCCAAATTGCTGAGGCAAAGCTTGAATGCCTCCACCAATAGTCATGAAACTTTCTGTGTATATCATGCCATCTGAGACAGTCTCAGTGGTGTACTCCTTGATTTCTTCCCATCAGTAATACAGACACTGCAACCTCTCTCAGCTTCTCCTGTCTTGCAGTCATCCTCATGTTCACACTGATGAGACTTTGGCACAACTTTACCACTTTAAATTGTTTTAATATATGTGCAATTCAGCTTCCACAAATTCGAGTTTATATTCTATTCTATTGACTGACTTATGCATTTAGAGTTGTAGAAGCAGTATCCTTCAAAGAGCTCAAAGATGATGTTATGTATAATGTGTTCACACAGCAGTCTGGGAAAATGTTGAGAATACAGATTTAGCAACATATGGCTGCTTTTATGGTGGGAATGAGTGGCATGCTAATCTGTCCTTTGTTTGTATGTTACACGAGATTCAGATTTACTTTTTAAAGACAGAACTTTCTTGAACTCGCACCAGGCAATCAACATAAGACAAAGTGGTTGGTGTCACATATGAGTAGAGGTTGAGCTCATCTTGTTGCCATCTGTTGTTTAATGTAAGAGTTGGTGTGGTCAGGATAGTTTATCATCCTGTGGAGATGCATAATGATGCTTGATCTTTGTCTTGTTGTGAGGGGGGGTTGGGTGCATAGTCAACAGTTAGAAGGCCTCTGTTCCATGCAGTGTGCTGCTCTAATTTGCGTAGTGTGACACCAAGTAGTACTAGAGTGTGGTGGACCAGTATTACAGTTCCTGATCAGGATAGACTACAATATAATAATTTTCAGGATAAATGATATATTTTGGAAATAAAAACAGTTTGATCAGAAGGGTAACAATTGTGCAGCTTCATTTTATTTTGATAAAGAATGTTATGTTTTCATATATGCAATGTAACATAACCTTATGAAATTGATGTACTTATTAATGTAATAGTTGGTGGGAAAAGGTGAATGTAGGGTTTATTGAAATATAAGTAAATTTTGTTGTGAGTGAGGACATGAAAACTGACGGTATCCCAGTCTGTATGGTTATGGGTGAACTTGGGTGCTGTCTGCATCAGGTAAAGTGCCATGCAGTTTCTTTTGTCAAATTTAACATATTACCAAAGTGTTTAAGGAGGTTTTAAAATGTGTGACTGTTTTATGTTAATTAAAATGTTGCCAGAAGTGCGTGAGTTATTCACTGTTATGAATTCATGAAAACAATTAATGATGCAGGATTTTTCCACATGTCCTACCCATTTCATCTTGCTGAATTTAATCACCCGATCAGTGTTAAATGAAGAGTAGATTTATCTTATCTGAAGTCTAAAACAGTTTGTTAACATGTTTTAACAGTTGCTCTTTTAATATACTCAATAATTTTACTAATTACATGTCTTAACATGAAGTTTGTAGCATTGCATTTGTAATTATTCCACTCTAGTGAGAAATGAAGGGTATTGCATAGTGAAGAAATTTTGATTTATACAGATCACGTAGTTCTGTGATCAAGTGTGATCAAGAAAGCCAATAGTGGCCTGGTTATGTAGTTTAGATGGGGGATATTAGAAAGGCATGCAGAATTTAATGATTTAGTGACATTAATATGACTCATGGGGAATATGTTGTATGAATGGTGGTTGGAACTGGCTTAGGGTTAGGTCTTGTGATGGATTTTGGTATTAATGATATTGATCACATCGATTATGGTACCAGAGAGTTAATTTTATTACTGTATCCATTATTATGCATTCTTTGCACAGTGTGCATAAATAGAATGCACGTGACTCTGTTCACCGCCATGTTTCAAGTTGAGAACTGCTGGATGGATTTTCATGAAATCTGATTAAATGCTATGCTATAGGATAACTCTTCATCCTGGTACTTTTTAATATCATGGCAGTTGGGTGAACAGAGTGGCGGGAGTGACAGTTCAAAAATCAAATGACTCTAATAACTGGTAGTAATTCAATTTAGAGTTAGAGATACTTTATGATTTTATGACTGCCAATCAGTTCAGCTTGGTGCTGAGCCTCTTGAGGATCATGACCAGAGTTTTTTTTTTTTTTTTTTCAACTGAACCGTATGACCATGGTCCTTATGTAATATTCTCTCTGAAGAGAGGAGGGGGTTATCTCTTGTGAATAGGCGTGGCCTTTGTCTAATATGCATATCACACATAATTCAAGTCAGTTTGAGTCAGTTCTTATTTATTTACATGCAAATGTAACAGCCCAGAGACCAATTACGAAGTGAGTGCAAGTAAAGAAAAGAAAAAAAGAACAACAAAACACATATGAACAAAATACAGGAAAACAAGGCAGTTTAAATGATGATTTTGATTATCATCATCATCAACACAAATCAAAGTTATCATTCAGAAGTGAGAACAACTAGGGATATTGAGAATGCCAGGGTGCATAGAATGCTTATGAAAAATGTGTGAACCTTTTCATTCTTGTTTACTCCTTGTCTTATTTCTGATGTATGATACAACTTGAGTAAAACCTTTCTATAAATGAAATGAGAATGATCATAATTCCACCACAAATATGACTTCTTGGCTGGCAGGATTTTCTGAACCTGTCCCATAGATATTTGCCAGATTTCTGATTGTTTTTTAATTTACCAGTTATATAATTCATCCCCATGTCATCATGTGGTAAATTATTTAGACTGGATAGTGCAAATGGTAGTGCACTGTTGAAAGTTATTAAAACTTTCTAAGATTTTAATTCTCACAGTGGTGGCTGTGAAGAGTTCTGTCTTCTGGAAGCTAGCACCTTGTCATCTGGTGTTGTGAAACACAGTTCAACAGAATGTTATTTGTGGTTCTGGGTGTATTTCAGAATATTTACAGCAAATAATGAAAACTATTTTTGCATTACAAAGGAACACTGTTCTTCTGCAAATCTTATTACTGAGCTGAGTCTGTGTGTCAGTCCTTCTATTGGTCTTTCTCCAAATTCAACTTCAGACTTCATCACTTACTGAGAAACTTGATGTGTTTCATGCCACTGGAAACACCTCTTAGGGAATTTAACTTTTTGTTGTCTGTAATACCCACAAGGTAACCGTGCAAACTTGTGGGTGGTCAGTGTGCAGCTTTTGTTAACCATTTCCATGCTGACTTTTATTCAGGTTTTTTCTCTTACTGTATTTTCCTGGTGGTGTGTAGTTTCTCTTGTTGAAACGCTATGAATAGTGAGCTCTAACTGCTGAAAAAATATTGAGCCCATTTTTCTTCATCAGATCATCTTAAACACCAAATAAATCCAGACCCAGAAGGATCTTCGGAGTTAGATACAGTGTTTATAGTATGGAAAGGGTTAAAGCATTTTTTTAGAAAAATGGAGAATTACATAAAAGATATATGAAATGTTTTGGTGTGATGAGAATAAATATCATTGTAGTTAGTTAGTTAGTTATTGGAGAGGGTGGGTTTCCCCATGCACTTAGACCTGTAGTGGTCCATTGTGCTTCCCTCTATGATTTCTACCAGTCTCTATAGCCTACCGGTACTGGTGCTTACCATCAGTCCCGCCCAGCCAGCGAGACCGGCTCTACTGGCTGAGAGGTATCTATAATGCTTCCCCCATCTACCGGAGGTATTAGTGACTGCTGTTGGGCGGGAAACGTCCGCAATTTTGGCTCAGTGACCTCCTTTGGAGGTATGAGGTTCTTTTACGTGCCGTAAAGCTACGACATGGGACGCATGGCTTAAAGTCCCTCCCGGAGGACTTGTTCCCTGAATTTTTCCGCCCTTAAAAATTCGACGACCTCCGCCGGGTATTTGAACCCACGTACTACGAGTCATGAGGTTAACCTCTAGACTACGGAGGCCGCTAAATATCATTGTAACTAGACGCGGAAAATTTGTCTGGTGACATGTTACAAATACAGCCATTACTAGTATGAGTGGTCTTGAAACCTTTTTTATCCTGAAACTCACCTGCTTCTGTTACGTTTTACTTTGAAGACACACTGCTTGGGAAGACTTGCATCTAATTCTATGTGATCTTTTATTTCCAGGAAGGGATGAAGGAGGAAGACCTCCCTCGAAGGTTGTGCCTTGTTTGTGGGGATGTTGCATCAGGCTTCCATTATGGAGTAGCTTCATGTGAAGCATGCAAAGCATTTTTCAAGAGGACCATTCAGGGTAAAGTTGCATATTGCTCAGCCATTGTTTGGGAATTCTTTGTCAGATGCAATGAAAGCGAAACAACTCTGAGGTTTATTACATAAAGCAGATCCTGACAGCTAGTTACTGGATCCAGCCAGAGGGAAGTCATGTTTAGAAACAAGTATTGAAACTAATGTTATTGTTTCATTTTTTAAGAACGTAGATTTTTAATTAGTTGGGTAGTGATTAATTAATTAGATTTTTACTAGTTGTTTACCTAATTACTCAGTTAATTACATAGGTAACTGCTATTAAAACTGATTCTTAAAGTGGTGGGGACCGATCAGAAAACAAAAAAATTAAGGGCAAGATATTTCCTTATAAAGCTCAGATTTTCCACTTTTTCTGCTGTCATTGCTACACTGGTTGGGAGTCACTGATGCTGAGATAAGTTCAAATGAAAATAATTTAAGGATATTTTGTGTCTGATTGTAGCTGTGCTGGTTTGTTCTGAGCAGGAAATATTGAGTACACTTGTCCTGCATCAAACGATTGTGAAATCAACAAACGACGAAGAAAAGCTTGTCAGGCATGTCGCTTCCAAAAGTGCCTGCGAATGGGCATGTTGAAGGAAGGTGTGCGGCTTGACAGGGTGAGAGGGGGTCGGCAGAAATACAGACGCAACCCCGAGCTACCTTATCAAGTGCAACCCTTGCCACCCATCAAACCCACCCCAACACTTGAAGGTAAGGGCTGTTTGTATTCGTGTATAACTTTGAAAAATTATGTAGTGTCTGCTTGTGGATGTTTGGATTTTTATTTTTAATTAATACTCCATTTAATCTATTCATGAGTTCGATGACTGACCATGTGGAATTTCATTTTTTTCATTTATTTTTTGGCAGTAATTTATTAAATGTGTAGATTATGTATTATTAACAACATGATTAGAAGTCATGAATCGATAAGAATATTGTGTACCTGTCAGCTTGCGGTACAATTTGAAAGGCCTCAATTCAAACTCAAGCATCTTAATCATATAATTAAGAGATGGTGTTCATATACTGCTATGAGCCCAGCTGATTAATAATTTTAATCTTTAAATGGTAGAAAGCCCACTGGTTTGTAGTTGTAGAAGCAGTACAATGATGCCGTATCATCATATGGACTCTATGAAATGAGATTATGAGATTGTAATACATGATATAACTTGATGTAGCTTTAATTTGGCAAGACTATCAAACAGCTACTTATTTAAGGGAACAGCAGCATAACATTGATTTCATCTGTCTATAAATTTCATCACTATTCTTAAATGACTTAGACAAGCCATTTTAAATCTATTACATGCATATGTTATTGCAAAGTGTCCTTTAATATTTGGTGCCCTCTGAAGATGGTCATCTTATTACTGAAAAATGTCAAGGATGTATTAGTATTGAACCCCTTCCTCTAAAAGAAGGGGGCAGGGAAATAAATTAGACATGCTTGGATGGCTATTTCACATTGTACTTTAATATGAAATATCAATCAGTACTGCTTTTGAGTCTACACTTAGCACTATGTAATGTGTTGAATATGACCGTTGAGAGACAGCAGTTCGGTAAACATGTTCCCTTAGGCTACACATTCAATCATTCATTTATTTCCTTTATTTTCCATATAATCATACAGGTAACAAACCAAGGATGTGGAAATGGTCCCTTTGAAAATAGATATATCAGCAATGGGACCGCTGTTGCTGGGTAGCAGGTCACTGTGCATGTTTCGCAGCAGTGACAAAACACAAATAATAACGGAGTAATACATGAACTGTTGGAGTTGGTGATCTATATTTGGTTCGCTTGGATGTTAGGTCAGTCCAGGAGAGTTCAGCTGCAAGGGATTCTGTGTTCATCATTTGTCACATTGGAAGAGATGACATCTGTAGTCCAGTAAGGAAGGGAGCGAGTCTTAGACAGTTATTGGTTGTGAGCTGTTATAATTGTTGTAATTGTAATAGAAGTGCCAATAAATCCAATTATCCAATCCAGAACCCATTGTTATTAGTCACGCAAACACCAAGTACCATGATAACTGGTGTCAGAAGTGGTCAAATTGAATTGATTGATTGATTAGATCAAAGACTGCAGTAGGTAGTTGTATTATCAAGTCTGCAAACATGGAAGAAAAGTTGGAACTCCTGAAAGCCAGGAAAGAAATGATGGACACAAACCAGACAAAGGCGGATGCCAATATGAAAGCCATGCAAGAACAGACAGACGTCTACCAGCCAAAGGTGGACGCCAAAATGAAAGTCATGCAGGAAGAGATGGACACCAACCAGGCAAAGGCAGACGCCAGTATGAAAACCAACCAAGAAACGCTGGCCAAGACTGAAGCCAGGATAGAGGCCGATAATGAGAAGTTTGAGGTCCTTCAAGATACTCTCGTCTCCTAGATGGATGCCCATCAGAAAAGGATGATGGCCTGTCTTGGAAAAACAGAGGCCACGGATTTTTAGGCAACTCCAGAAGAAATGCTGCAAGAACATGTGTTTGGTGAGGTATTGGCTAGCAATGGACTTTCACTCCTGCGTCACTATTCGAGCTTTCAGATGTCATGTCACGATGTAATTGTTAGTTTTGTGAGAAGAATAGTGTTTTTCAGTCTTTAATTATGTGAGAACATTTGGCAGAGTTGTAGTCATTTTTGCAGGGGTGTACTAATCCATTTTTTTACCTGTCTCCTTTCTTTTCTTTTTCCTTTTTTTTTTCCTTTTTTTGATAAATATGTCACTATTTCTCTGTTGACAGAGAACAAGATGCTAGAGGCACTGTCATCATGTGAACCTGAAATGCTGCTGGCCTCTCATGATTCCAGTTTGCCCGATCCAGAGCTTCATATCATGAGCATATTGAGTGAGCTGTACGATAAGGAATTAGTGGGCATCATAAGCTGGGCCAAACAGATTCCAGGTGTGTGGAGCACTTTCTAATGACTGTTGACAAACTGTCTTAGTTTTACTCAGCAGAGATGAAAGGCTTCAGGTGAATTGTGTTATTTTTGTGCGCCCTGAGCACAAAATGCATGAAGTGAGGACAATTATAGGAGGTTATGTCTTCCCGTCTGCATGAAACTGGAGTATATTTAGATGGAATTTTATATTTTGAGGTCAGCACTGAAATGTATGGAATGAATTTAATTTTGGTTTCTATTGACCTAATACAAGGTTCACCAGAAACATTTTGGGTCACAGAGTGTAGCTGAACTTCCAGTTTCCTCACATGGACAAGTGTAATTAGATGCTAGATGCAGAGTGTTAGCCACTGAAAGCTAGGTGGCCCTGTAAAAGGTTGCCTGTTACTTAAACAGGAATAAATGGCTTGGAATGTGGTATTGGGCCCCATATAGTTGAGGGTTTGTGGGGGCAGGAGCATGAAGGATAGGAGGATGGAAGCAGGTGTAGTGAGATAGTGAGTCATAAGAGGAGGTTGGCCCCAGAAAGGGGATAGATGAACCAGACTGGAGAGTTGGTGCATTTCTGGTCATGTGAGGATCCTGTGGGTTGCTTGTGGCTCTGGCAATCCCTCCTGATGCATGTGAATGATGTTTTGCCAGGATGGACTTCATCTGGTAGTCCCCTTTGCTACAGTTGTGGTGTAAGTTGATCTTAGTGGCTTTGTGATTGACTCTACAGCTGTGCTTGCATAGCCTTATTGTATAATTATTTAAGAACTTTTACCTGACCGGATACTAAGTGTCTTATATTACTGAAGTGCTCTCTGTTGCATATTCTTGGCTTGAGTAGAATGTGCGTTGAGCTGGAACTGATCGGCGTGATGATTCTCTATGTGGACCATGAATTCCATACAGCATGCAAATCTACTGGGTTGGGCTACAGTAAAAGTAAAGTTATCCGAGGGTTTTAACTAATTGAGCACCGCACTATGAAGATGTATGGGGTAGTGGAGGTATAATTCCACCATCCTTAACCCCAGCACTAGATGTAGGTGAGTGGTTAGCTTCACACCCCTGTCATTTTAGCCCGGGGGAAACAACCCTTAGTATAGGAGGCTGGGTGGGCCTCAGAGCCAGTCTGGACATTATGGAGAAGAAAAAATGTATTACCTCTAGCTGGGAATTGAACCCTGACCCCTTGGCCATCTAGCCTTTAGCCTAATGGGTGTATAAACTGAGCTGGCCCTATGGTAACTATGGTTAACCAGGATAGCTTGGGCAGTAATGGGTCTGGCTGCAGGTGGGATAGTGAGGTCTTGATTCCAGCATGAGCAAGGAGTTTTAGCTTTGTCATCTAGTCCAATGCCAAACCTGCTATCAAATGTGTACTAGGGTTTTTCCCCCCATGGATAAAGTGGCCAGTGTCTAAAGCTTCCTTCTCATGCCAAGGTTAAGGATGGGATGGATGAGCTCTGCATCTGCACTTTTATATCTTCATAACCTGGTCCTTTGTCATGAGATTTTTTTTTTTAATTTTAGTAGCAGAATGCCACAAAAGTAGATGTACCTGTTCCCAGATTTCACTGCAGTTACTGATAATTATATAAACTTGTTATTTTAATCTCTCTTCAAATACATAGTGACCGAGGCCAGTGATGACAGAGCAGGGGAATGGCTGTAGAGGCAGCCTACACACTAGTAGGAAAAGTGGGGGACTCTACCACCTGCTTTCAGTACTCTGACAATACAGTACTTAGAAATCAAAGCTGTCCAAATATTGGTTCCTTTGAATATCATCAGATGTACAGCAAAACACTTACTTAACTCTTTATATGCCATCAGATTATTAGATCTGCTCAGGTTACTTGCATTAAAACTGTCAGAGCCAAGGAAATCTGTTAAGCGTTCATTGCTTAGGAGAGCATTTATGTCAAGGGATGACATCAAATGTTATATAGTGGTGAGTAGGGGAAAGAGGCTGTCATATTATCTGCATCCGTGTTGTTTGAAGGTAAGCTGTGGGAGTGTTGTGGGTTTTTGTGTTCAACAACATTTATCCTAGTGTAGCCCTGGTGTTTCAATCAGATTTTTATGTGCCAAGCTTGGCAGTCAGAGGGTTTAGGTTTCTTTGCAGAACAGTGAGAAAAATCTTAAATTGAGGTAATTTAATACAAAGTTTACTGACTTGGAATCAGTGAAATTTGGTGTTAAATGAAGGAAAATTTTAAATCAAGGAACTTTAAATGGAGGTGGTGAGCTGTGGAGTAGTTCTGGAGTCTGCAGCATCACAAAGTGAGCAGTTAAGTATGCAGCCAATTTTGATAAGCACTGATATATGTATATGTGCCCTTAATGTGAATGTGTTTTCTTCAGGGTTCACTGACCTCTCTCTCAATGATCAGATGAGGCTTCTCCAAAGCACATGGGCAGAAATCCTAACTCTTACACTCACGTACAGATCCTTATCATGTACAGGAAAACTAAGGTTTGCGTCAGACTTTACACTGGACGAGAAACAAGCCCGAGAATGTGGCGCCATCGAGCTGTACCAACACGTAAGTGAACCAGGATGCCAAATTCAGTGTTTATGTTCTCTCATCATTATTCTAACCCTTCCAGTGAAGTAAACAAGAGCCCGGTATTAGGGTAGGGATAGGCCCATTTTGGAAAACCATATCATAGGCTTCTGTTTTTTTTTAAAATGAGAACCCAATATTAGGAATGTTAATAACATCATATACTGGAGGGCTAGGGCCATTTGGGCTAAACATTCCTAATATTATGTTCTCGTTTAAAAGAATCACCCTGGACCTGTTACCTCACTTCATTGCTGTTGTTAGGTCTTGACCTTCAGAGTATCTTCAGTACTGGAAACAGATGAGATATCTGGGAGTTTACAGGTTTAAAACTGATGGTGATGTAGTGGTGGTTGAAAGGCTAGGGAAATATTTGTGGACTGGGGATGAAGGTAAATTATTTCACAGAATGATGAGTACCTCAGTCTCTTTGAGGAATATGTACAAAGACAATTTTTTGAGTTTACAGTGCTGCTGCATTATCCATATCAAAGATTAAGTGGAACACTTCAAGTTATATGTCTTGTAAACTTACTTTCCAACTACCTCTCATACACACTAATTTTAAGATTTTTGCTGTGTATTATATTTTCCTGATTTTCATAAAATAATGTAATTTTAAGACAGAAACATGAAATATGTAACAAACAATTAATTTTCATATCCTGGTGACAAATCAGATGATACAATGGAAGGCGATATTTCTTGACATGGACTAAAGTTGAAAGTAGTAGCATATGGTAATGAGTGTGTCTTCGACTTTAGTCAAATATAAGAGCAATAGAGTTAAATTAAATGTGTTTGTTCCTACTACATTGGAAAGTATCAGTATTGCAAAGATGCAAACTTTAAAATTTATTTCTTTAACTTTCATGTCTTGGATGTGTACAGTAGTTATACATAATTTGGCAGATAAATAATTTACAGGTGCAAAAAATTATTCATTTTGTAAGTGTGGCAGGCCTGTCTGTCTAGATGGAGGGCATTTAAAGGAAAGTTTTTATATGAGTCCAACCTCTGTATAACTATAGCACATGGCAAGTTAATAGTTGCTCAGCTAGTATAGAAAATTTCTACTTTTATGGAATTTAAAGATTTACTGCTGCATTCACAAGAACCTTTCAGTCGGACCCTATCCCAAGTTAGTTGAATCCGTTCAAGATCCTAATACACTGTTTATCTTAAGATCCATTTGGATGGTATCCTTTCATTTACACTTAGGTCTCTCAACTGATCTCTTCTACTGAAGTTTTACTGCTAAATTTGCCTACATTTGTCATCACTTCTTTACACACCACATGCCCTGGCCAGCTTGTCCTGCTTAATTCACTTTTCCTAACAGTATGTGATGAATAAACTTATGAAGATCCTCATTATGTAGTTTCCTTCATCCTGCTGTGATTCCTTATCCTGTCCAAGTATTTTCTTCAGTACTTTTTTCTCAAACATGGAGTATCTGTATGTACAAAAGAGTAAAACAGTTCATGGCACTGTGTTCCAGTGTATGCAGGTTATTGAAAGGTTAGAGAGACTGAGCATTGCCAAGGAGGAGTACTACATAATGAAGGCCCTGGTTCTTGCAAATTCTGATGTGCGCATGGATGAGTTTGCCTCACTCAAAAAGTTTCGGGACAACATCCTTTCAGCACTTTCTGACTGTGTTGCAGTCATACGGTGAGTTTCACTTGTCCCTGTTGCTATGGAGTTTCCAAGTTTTGCTGTACTGAACTGTTGTGAAGCCAACAGCATACCTTGTATCCTTGTGAGGACCATGTCTGAGATCCATACTTACATGTTGTCCATGAAGTGTGTCACTTCTGTTCATGTGTCATCTCTTTGCCTCGATATTCCCGGTTTTGTTCTTATATAATTGTCTAGTTATGGTATACAGTGATACAGTGTGGTGATATCTTTTGGATATGAGATTCTCACAGTGAAGGCTATGAAGAGTTCGTCATGGGATGTAATGCCATATAGTCCAGTTAACATTCTTTAGACGACATGCTGTTATATCCCAGAAGACAGAACTCTTCTTTGTGTCATTTTGTAGAAGATTAAAATAAAATTCTATAAGAAAAATGGTGTACAAATAATAATGAAGTTTGAAACAAGGTTAATCATTTACCGATTTTATGAAAGGAATATAATGCATTTGAATTTTAAAGGTCTATTGTTCACTGCCACCACCCCCAGCACCATTATGAGTTTTCAACTTGGTTATTTAACAGTGCTTTCAGCATTTGGACTGCATAGCATAGGATGAATGACGAATATGGAACAGTTGGTGGAATGATTATTATGCATGATTAGCTTAATTGACTGTTTTTAAAATATTTGGGTGTAGTTTCTCTACTGTTCTCTCTTTCACCCCCAAAAGGCGTAACAGATATCACTCTTTCCTCTGACTGTTGTATCAGTGTACCTGCCTTCCTTTTTTCCCCCCTTTTTTCCCCCCTTTATTTCTTTTTCTATGGCATCTGTCTTCATATCTGTCCTTATCTGGTCCACTTACCATGTTCTTTGCCTTCTCACAGGCTCTTTTCCTTTTGAATATTTTTCCGTTAGTGTTTTGGACAGTCTCTCTTCCTCTCCCAAAGCTCTTGTGTACCATCCTCACTCACAGGAAAGGAGCAGTATGAGGTATTGGACTGCCCGTTGGGTCGCTGCTCATCCACTGTTTTATCATATTTAAAGGATTTATTATGTTATTTTTCTATGGTTTTTTATATTATTAGTCATTTGATGTGATGTTTAATCTCATATATTTTTTTATAAAACTGACTTGTCCAATTGTACATAATGTAACAGTTATGGATGTTAAATAAATCAATCAATCAATAACACTATTGAAACTGAGGATGCCTGGCAGGAACTCTCAAAATGTAAGATTTGAGGCTTTCACGGCGGTGACTATGAAGAAAGCAGTCTTCTGGGATTTGGCACCGTGTATATGTGGTGTTAACTGACGTTTCGGAGGAACGTCTGTTTTACCGTTTCTCACGGTGTTGTCGCTTGCAGATTTCTTATACTTTTTCTTCTACCCCGAAGATGGGGGCGATATGTTCCTCCGAAACGTCGGTTAACACCACATATACACGGTGCCAAATCCCAGAAGACTGCTTTCTTCAACTCTCAAAATGTTTATATCATTGCAATGATGAAGTTGTCATAGGCTCAAACAGCTTATAGGGGATCACATTCATACCAGTGATTGAGGTTAACTCTTTCTTAGGGACCCAACAGAGTAAGAGTCTTCTCCCTCCATGAGGTTGGAAACGAATCCCGTTTCTGAAATGTGTTCTCTAGTATTTAGAATACTGGACGATGGTCAAGGTCGAAGAACCCAGTAATTCTGAGTGATCTTCATATTCATCACTGTGAGAACCTCGGATCTCATGTCCTTCAAGTAGTGTCGTGTGGTGTGTCATGCAAGACGTGTGTTATTTTCTCACAGATCATACAGACTTTGTCAGTCTTTCAGAAGCAGGAATCTGGCAGTATGCGATTTGGAGAGTTGAAAAATTAAAGGAATTAGGTTTTTATGAACTTAGCTGCAGAATATCAAGAATTTGACTGGCTTCAGTTATTCTCCCTTGTGGATTTTTTCTTTTATTTGCACCGTCTCCTTCCGGATATCTAGCACTTATTACGTCCAAGACAGGAGCGGCGCAACGTCAGGGGCTCTCATGTTATGTTCACAATGCTCCCTAGATGTAGTAGGGACTCCAAGCCACAGCAGGGAGACACTTCCAATCGACAAGACTAGTTCACCATAACAAATTAATTTAATAAGAGAAACACAATAAAACAGAATACAACAAATAGAACTTAATAGAAGGCGTGGGCCCAAAAACACACAACTTGTGACCACATCTGTCAGTTACTTTACTCTTGCCTTAACTGCGGCATCAGACTACACTTAATAGCCCACGCTCACTGCTTATTACTCTTGTTTACAATCATGCTACTTCAGCAGGCACGAAATAATGTTAACAAGTAGTCCTTGCCTACAGGCGATTCCTAGGAAAGAAAACACAATGACGTAACGTTAAATTAAAACCCATCGCTCTGCCCCACAATAACTTATAATGCAAGCAAAACCCCCGACGTGCGTTGCCAGCACAACCTCCCAGACATAATTTAGAATGCCTTCCGAAACCGAATTTGAAAAAATCCCAGGCTGGCCGCGTACGTCCGATACGCTGTGGATCCAAGCAGCGAATGAATTTAGATTCACTAACCGGCTTCTTCCGAGCCATTAGGGGAGGGGACGGGGAGAGGAAGCGGAATCCCACGTGATACACTCCAGCACGGGATGAAGGGGTAGGGATTAACATGGCTGGAAGGCATGACATCATCCAAGAGCCATAACATGGCTCATATTTCATATGTCTTGACATTTATTACATTATTATGGCCACTTGAACCAGTGACAGAAACAAGGAAACTAACAACTTTCTGATAGGTGGAAAAATGCATCTTGAACTTGTGCATACAAATTGATGATGTCATCTTTAAGGGTAATTTAAATAATTTTCATATGCCATTGCTGAACTTTCTATCTTTTCAGGGACTAGACAGAATTATTTGAAGTGGATAGAAGTCTATTATTACATCTACCCTAAGAACGTGTTTTTAACCAAACCATTTATATTTTCAGACCAAACACATCAACATACCATATGCACCATCTCCTGCTGTGCCTGCCATCTTTACGTCAAGCAGACCAAGTAATCAGACGGTACTGGACAGGTGTTCACCGTGAGGGCAAGGTACCCATGAACAAATTGTTTGTTGAAATGCTGGAGGCTTACTTCCGATAGGAAAGACTTGCTTGCCATCAGAAACGGCTTAGTGTGGTTGGACATCAGGTCTGTGTTGATCAGTATTATTGAGATGTGTCTGCATTATGTGATATGTATCCATCAAAGTGACAGGATCTTCGAAAAAGAAACCAGTGGTTTCCAAATGTGAATAACACTCAAAAGAATGTTGGAAACATGCCACTTTTATTGACTGGTATTTGCAGCCAACTCAAAATGAAAAATGATTGTACAACACCTGGTCAGTAAATGAGGGTAAGCTTTTGTTGCAAAAGAGTTTGATTATAACCAAATATACTTGCTCAAGTCATGAAGAGCAAGTGAATGTTTTGCAGATTTTTTATTCAAAGTAAGATATTTTAAATTTTAAGGTGGAAAGTTATCCCATATAAGAAACATATGTGGAGTTTAAATTTTAACCCTTTGTGGTCTGCTTAACAAGACATAATTTTGTCTTCAAGCATTGATATTATTTTAAGACTGAAGGCACAAAAGAAAACAAGTTAGCATTTGTACATATTTCGCTCACATTTACAAATGTTTCTTTAGAAGCTTATAATAGGTTTATATTTTAAAAATTTTCTGAAAGTTTTGCACCTCACACATCATATTTACATTTTCAGTAGCGTGTTGTCTGGGTTCATGGCTGCAGATCTCACAATAATGTATTTTCTCATTCTTGTGAACCTTCCTGTCACTGCATTCTGCATAACCATTCCCCTGTTTACATCAGACTTATGTATAAAATGGCACTTCTTGCTCACATGTTCTTTGTCATCAGTAAAGAAAAGGTTCGCTACCTAGCTATTCAGCCAGATTCCTCGTAGGTTCAGATAAATCAGCAGATTCAAGTTATCTTTCTTCCTGTTGCAGTTTGTTATAATGAGGGGAATTCACAAATCACACCTCCAACACCTGGAAGAATAATGTTTGCCAGCATGTGTGTGACTTCTTTGTGAAACCATAACTTGCAGTGTAATGGTCTGGCATGCCATCTGTTGCCATATGTGTTGAGTAATTAGAAACAACTTTGGTTAGTCTAGTTCTTCATTCACCCTTCTTGCTTTTGTATATCCTTGTTGTGAATGTGTTCAGCTTGTGGGCCATCATGTTGTCACCTTTATGAAAGACATAAATATAACTTTTTTCATTCTCTTGAACCGGTTTACTGCACCTTTCCTGCTGTTTATGGGTCCTGTTAGGTGAATTCCAGTTCCTCAATAGCTCCTTTATCACTTCACTGCTGGCATAAAAATGGTCCATAGGCAAATGAAACCCATCTTCCCCAGGAGGTCATTACTGTCAGATAAGTGGAGCACAGTTCTTGATGTAAATGGAAGATCCATCATGATAAGCCTTTCTGTCATTTCTCTTTAAATGTATGGTCATGTGTTTATGGCGCCATGACTTAATAACAGGTTCTGGATTGGATGATTGGATTTATTGACACCTCCTTTACAATCTTTCTGAATTACAATCAATTACAATAACTCACAATCAGTCTTCAGTTGAATCCTTCTTCCTTGATTGCCAAGGATGTTCCATTCTTGTTCTCATCCTTAGTCTATCACTGACATTTGAGTCTTGAGTCTTTCAGAGTCGTACATTATGACTGATAGTCAGTTGGCAAGTCTGTCTTGGAATAAAGCACCCATCTGGGGCTTATGACTAGATATTTATTACTGGCAGACAGTTGTGGGTTTGTAAGATTTGAGGTTTTCATGGTGGTGACTATGAAGAAAGCAGTCTTCTGGGATGTGGCGCCGTGTAGATGTGGTGTTAACCGACGTTTCGGAGGAACGTGGGTGCTCTCTATGATGAGAGGACAGGTGTGTCATTTATAATTGTCGCTTGCCCTTGCCAGCGCAGTCATTCTCGGGTCAAAGTCTCGTGGGACTTGTGACCATATTTTACTGTCTCAGATTCAAGACTTCTCTTTTCATCTCCTACAAATCACAGGGCTAGAGTGGAAGTATTCGACCCTGTCTCCACATGGGATTTGGCTTCTGATATATGACTGGACTGTCATGTAGTCTCGAGGTGGACCCATAGAAAACATCCATTACCCAGCAATGGATATATCTGTATCACATAGAAAACACCTCTTCCTCTATTGTTGTGTTACAGCACATTTTGTAGTAGTCACGGAAGTTATCTGATTGTTGCACATGTATTCGTTGCCTTGTATTGTTGTGGGCTTCACCTAACAGTGGGATGTTTACAAAGGATTTGTCTCCACAGGAACGTGTTTATTGAGCTGCCTAGCAGTGGGTCCATACGTCACAGTATAGAACAGTTCTTGAAATACACCCAGTCCCACAGTCTCCAAGAACATACACTCATTGCCCCATCTTGCTAGTTTGTTTGAGTTATACATGTTGCAGTTGATCTGTCCTTTGAAACCAAATGTACTTTTTCTTTTTATAGCTGTTTGACTGCTTGGTAAAAAATGATAATGAAATTTGCAATCCGAGTAGAAAGCTTAATTTTTTATTTGCTGTACTTTGCTTGTCGTGCCCGCTTCTTTCTCCTGTGGCATTAAGAGGCATAAATTAAACATCCAGAATACCCAAAATATTTGAAAAATCTGCTTCCATTGACTAATCTTTGAATAAAGACATTTTGCCCACCCATTTTGGCTTCAGTGTTTACACCCCAGTGTTCATTAGCCTTCTCAATAAGGTCTTCATCTGATCCACATGGACATCTTTCTAAGACTGCCAAACAGAGTATATTCAAAGAGATAACATATTTTGGTATTCTGTCTGTGGCATACATGTTGGTTTCGTTTGAAATTTCTTCAGAATGCTCTTGTGTGAAATAATGCATGAAATAATCTACAACCTCTTTTATTATATCTGTCACAACACAACTAATATCAAGATCAGACCATTTTTGGCCCTGCTACATATTTCGGCTATTGATAGTCATCATCAGGCAAACACATGATTAACACTCATATACATACAACAGAACTGCAGCACCAACAAAATAGGATACAATATTATTAAAATATATAAAAACACTTAACATAAAAATACAGTAAATCAAGTTATATAAAACAGAATTATGATATAAAATAAGAATAAAATTGTTTTGGTGTTTTTACATCAACGTGTCAGTCGTTGGTTTGTGACTTGTTTTTGTTTCGTTCCCATGGACAAGTTGGAATATTCATACGTATGCGTATATAAAATTGTGTATGAGGCTCGTAATGTAGATGTAGTAAAGTACATTATAATATTAGCCAGTGCCTCATCTCACAAAGTATTGTCCGTACTGTAGGGAATGTAAACAATGAGTCACTGTTCAGCTTCATCAATATTTTTTCTTGTAATATTATTTTGAAAAGTTTTTGGTAAACGTTCTTTATTATTATTGTTTTTCCTCTCTGTTTCAGTGTCGATAATGTTCCAAGTAGTTTTTATTTTGTTTTCAGTTGATGTAATTAACTGATTATAATATTTCCTTTTAGCTTCTCTTACTATGCTCCTTAACATCATGCAGCAGGATCTGTAGTATGATTTAAATAAATAGTTGTAATTGTTTCTACTGAGAATGTACAAAGATTCCTTCCATCTAGTTGGATGGGATGTTCAGACAAGTACAGGAGGAGGCAAAGTGGAATATAAAAAGTGGTGGCAGGCTCCACATTTCTGATGGGAGTGAACCTTGGTTTAAGAACAGCAAGAAGCCACTACTTCAAGAAGCAAAAATTAAAGTTTAGAAGTGTCAGGGGATATACCAGGTTGAACAAAATTAAATTCAAAGCCCTATGGAAGGACTAAATCTTTATTTAGTGCGAGAATATTTCCAGTCACAGAAAGTAACATGTATTCTTCTTTATATTAAAACATGCATTTATAGTGAAGTTAAACTTTAGTGTAGGGCTATAAGTGGTATGTTTATATCCTTAACTAAGCTTATAACATTCTCATTTGTAAACCTTTGGATATTTCCAGAACACACTTTGTAGGTGAAAATTACTGTCTTCCATGATGTGACATCCTGTAGTTTGTCAGTTCATGCCTGATATTTCAGAAGAGCATGTCATCTTCAGTCCTCCTGTTGAACCCTGAAGATGGAAACAACACATCACATTAAAATATCTGTAACAGTCTACTAGACTATGTAGTGTCACATCCCAGAAGACAGCAGTTTTTGTAGTCACTGCTGAGAAAACCTCACATCTCATAATTGACATATGATGTATGTTTGCAACATGACATAGTGTAGATGTAGTAACACCAATATACAGGTACTAAAGATTTTCACTTTTAAATGTTCTCCTGTGGACAGCTACTGGTATTTAATCTTTAATTTTTATATTAATGTATGCATGTTGATAAACACGCATGCAAACACACAAGCAGGCATGTTCCTGATTTGTGAAAGCAATGAACAGAAATGTGTATTGCATTACATTAACTGCTTTCCCTGTAATGAGCAGTAAACAGCAACAGTTTCTTCACAGAAATAATATTAAAAAATTTGTACTACTACAACAACACCAACAACAACGAGGCTAATAGCAAATCACTCCACAGAAAAAGAAAAGTATGCCGAGGAAAAGAAGTTTAGCTAGGGCTTGAACACCTAATCTTCCAGCTACTAGCAGCATGTCTTACCCCTATATCAGGGGATTGTACTGTGTAGTGAACATCAGATACACATAAGCAGTGTTTAATACTTCTTGCTTGATTTTCTTAGCCATTTCTGAATATAGATTAGTCCATATGTCTGATATGGTTTCTTTTGTATCCATATTTTTAAGTATAGCCAGGAAAAGATCTATATTTTTTCACACTTTGGTCAGGTCTCCTGCACAAAGCATACTTATTTGCATTTGCTTTCAGCATTCATATGCTACTCTTTCTTCTGAAAATATTGTGGCCTATTTGCTCTTTGTTACAATATATGTGCTAGTACCCTACCCATATGCTTGGTTCTGTCCTTGAGCCTGAAACATACCATGCACTGGGAGATGTATGACTTTGATTCATGAATAGTTGCTGGTATACATGTATGATAGTACCATTTGTTAACTTACATACAAATCATATGCAGTACACAGCCGGCCTCTAAATATCAGCAAAATCAGTTTCTGGCAAGAGCAGCAGAACCTGCCTCTTCAGTGCAATCAGTTCACTGGTAAGAAAATGACTGGAAAGTTAATATTTCTGTTGTATCTATGAGGATATCCTAGAACCCAATAGATGATACAGCACTCCTTTCAATGCTGCTACATTCTTTTAAAACATTCATTGCTACAGAGGACACCAGTGATTGTGTTCCTTGCTGTCATGACATTCACTGATGTCACTTGCAGATCTTTACCTCTCTTGCACAAAGAACACCATTGTCTGCTTCTAATGCTTGGATGTGTCTTCATGCCCCCACCAACTAAGGAACCAACAAGAAGGTATGAAATCTGAAAATGAGTATTAGACAAGAACAGAAAATAGGAAGTAGACAAGAAAAGTTGGTCAAAGTAAATAACATAATAGTACAAACAGGTATTACATATGGTTGATCGTAAGATTCCTTTTTGAGCCTCAGAATTGGAGATGTTGAATAAATGATCATTAGGGTTACCAAGGACAAGATGGAGAGATGAAATAGGAGAAGATAATAAGAAAGAAGGAAAAGGTAACATAATTGCTGATTCAAGAATTGTGTTTGTGGGAAGACAGAGAAGAATGGATTTGTCATAACAACCAAACTTGGTGAAAATGCCAACAGATGATAGTGATGATCACTTATGAGGTTACCATTGTCCCTGTTTTGTAGTGATAGCTATCATGTTTTAGATGTCTGGCTGTCTATAATCAGATTTGTTGATGCAACTGTTAGGTGGTTAAATTTTATGTAACCAAATGATGTTAAGATACTAAACAGATGCAGGAGGGAAGTAGAAGAACCAGGACACCTGTTTAGTAGAGTTATTGAGATGTATACCTGTTATCACGTTGATCTATCCATGGGATTTGTGGAGTGCAAATTTGTATAGGGAGTAGTGTACCAAAGTATGAAAGTATTTAAGTCTCATTCCATTCATAAACTAAAAGAAATACATTAATAGTAAATCATTTGCTCATCTGGAATGTTTTAAACAACAGAAGTTAACTCTACAAATTTCTATATTCATAAAACTAAGTTCCTCATATAAGAGAGAGGTTGTCTTATTTTAAAAAATAGTAAGTGCTAGCCATTTATATTAATTTTTTCTTTTGTTTGTGTGATTGCATTCATATCACTTATTGTAATATTTCTTATACATTTCCATATCTTGCACGACATAAAAACAGAGAGAATATGCGTTTTTAAATGCTTGTTGACATGACATTTGTATACTTTGCTTGTATCTTTGTAATGTACCACTTGTTATCCAGTGGGATACCTTTGGAAGAACTGTGCTTGGTGGCCAAAGAACAGTGATTCTTGTCCTTTTAAACCTTGATCTTTTGGACGCCTTTGTCATTTAAAGAAATAGTCTCACCATGGTAAAAAGTAGATCCTTCCTTTTTTAAAGAAATGTGTTTCTGCAGTTATATACATTTTAGTGTTATATCGGTTATTAACAAAAGTACTTGTTTTTGTGACCTCATGTCCTGCCTTGTTGACTGTCAAGTTCTGCCAGTAGGACAGATCCCACCAGTTGTGTGAAACACTGTCCAAGAGGATATTTGACAAA